GACTTGGAGAAGGCCTATGATAAGATACCGCGGAATGTCATGTGGTGGGCCTTGGAGAAACACAAAGTCCCAGCAAAGTACATTACCCTCATCAAGGACATGTACAATAATGTTGTGACAAGTGTTCGAACAAGTGATGTCGACACCGATGACTTCCCGATTAAGATAGGACTGCATCAGGGGTCAGCTTTGAGCCCTTATCTTTTTGCATTGGTGATGGATGAGGTCACAAGGGGTATACAAGGAGATATCCCATGGTGTATGCTCTTTGCGGATGATGTGGTGCTAGTTGACGATAGTCGGACGGGGGTAAATAGAAAGTTAGAGTTATGGAGACAAACCTTGGAATCGAAAGGGTTTAGGCTTAGTAGAACTAAAACCGAGTACATGATGTGCGGTTTCAGTACTACTAGCTGTGAGGAGGAGGAGGTTAGCCTTGATGGCCAGGTGGTACCTCGGAAGGACACCTTTCGGTATTTGGGGTCAATGTTGCAGGAGGATGGGGCTATTGATGAAGATGTGAACCATCGAATCAAAGCCGGATGGATGAAGTGGCGCCAAGCTTTTGGCATTCTCTGTGACAAGAGAGTGCCACAAAAGCTAAAAGGCAAGTTCTACAGGACGGCGGTTCGACCCGCAATGTTGTATGGTGCGGAGTGTTGGCCGACTAAAAGGCGACATGTTCAACAGTTAGGTGTGGCGGAGATGCGTATGTTGAGATGGATGTGTGGCCACACGAGGAAGGATCGAGTCCGGAATGATGATATACGAGATAGAGTTGGGGTAGCACCAATTGAGGAGAAGCTTGTCCAACATCATTTGAGATGGTTTGGGCATATTCAGCACAGGCCCCCAGAAGCTCCAGTGCATAGCGGACGGCTAAAGCGTGCGGAGAATGTCAAGAGAGGGCGGGGTCGACCGATTTTGACATGGGAGGAGTCCGTTAAGAGAGACCTGAAGGATTGGAGTATCGACAAAGAGCTAGCTATGGACAGGGGTGCGTGGAAGCTTGCTATCCATGTGCCAGAGCCATGAGTTGGTTGCGAGATCTTATGGGTTTCCCCTCTAGCCTACCCCAACTTGTTTGGGACTAAAGGCTTTGTTGTTGTTGTTGTTGTTGTTTGTTGTTGTTTATTACAATTGTCAAACGTGAACAAAATTTTGAAATTCTGAACTTTTTTCAAAAAATTGAAGAAAAATTGAAATTCTGAACATGTTTTGAATCCTGACTTTATGAATAAAATTTAAAAAATAAAAATAAACTTGGAACTGAAAGAAAGAAAAGGTAAAAAACGAGAAAGGAAAAGAAAAAGTAAAATATAAAAAGAACACAGGAAAAAAAACGGGCCGCTCAAGGCTTGGGCGCTTTGTTCTATTTCCCGCAATGCGCGGCAAATAGGGTCTTCCTAGCTGCGTGGGTAGGAAAATATATCGGTTGGCTTCACTGCGCCACAAGGCGCGCCGCAAATATGAAATTCTGGACAAACCTTTTTTTTCCTTTTTTACCATACGGATGTACAATAATTTAGTACCACGTCGGATAAAAATAATCTTTTCAGCAATGAACGTATGAAAAAGTTCAGATAAACACACATTGCTTTATTAGTTGGCATATATATAATGCGAAACAAAAGTCTATCTTAAGAGTACTACTGCCACGCCGTTGTTGACACCAGATTATGGCATGATCAAAAACTTAGTTAAAATGATCTCAAATAGAAAAGTTTTCAACATGTAAAAGTTTTGTATCATCAAAATGAGAAACTTTGACGTTTGGGTCATCAACGAACAATCTCATCTAAACGGTTGAAACCGTGCTCGGACTAATAAGATTTTGGCACTCAAAGTACTGTTTGGCCAATTACGTCTCCAAGACGGCTTCATATGAGAAAATTTTCTACATGAATTGTTTTAATCTCGTCGAAACGGTCGATTTTGATATAAAAATCGCCTTAATCCAAGGTAGTATGTAAAAGTTAGAGTCAAAAATACGTGTCTGCATCAGGATGGCCGGACACTTTGGGGATAATCATCCGGGTTTTGGATTTCTGTGAGGATGGCCGGACACTCCGGGATGCTCATCCGGGTTTTGGATTTCTCTGCTTCAGACTTCATAAAACAGCCGAAACCCCCCTCAAGATGGCCTCTGATAAAAAAAAGTTCAATATGAAAGTTGTTCATCTCGTCGAAACGGTCAAGATTGCTTTTTGGATCATTTTCATCCGAAGTCGTTTACTGCCTCAAAATGACCCGCAAGGTGCACCCAGGTTGTAAACCAAACAGTTCTGGAACGTTCGGATTCCGAGTTGGACCTAAACTAGGGTTTTGAACGTGAATTCTAACATTTCCTTGCGTAGGATGTACATCCGCCTCTTAAGGCATGACAGTCGATTGAATAACAACACACAATAGCAAACACATCTACAACTTTTTCATTTACGTCTTGTCCCTCCCTCGTTCTTACTCCCTCGTTCTTCATCATTCTTCGTGTTGGAGAGCTGCGAATCGCGAGGCTCTAGGGGCGGCTTGACCGACCCAGGGAAGCCCATAGCCGCCGCACTCCCCGACAGGGTCCCTCCCGGGAGTGTAGGGTTTCGGGTCCTCAAAAGTTCTCTCCGGTCGACTTGCGAATCGTGCTTCCGGTGAGACTCCTTCAACATGAGCTGCAGTGCATCACCCCCGGCATCTAGGGTACACGTGACGTGTTCATGTGAGAACAACCATCTGTTAGTCATGTAATATAAGATTGAAGACACTATCGTTTAGGCCCTTGCCTCATAGGTATGATGAGTATCACTGATGTTTCATATCCAATTGCTTAGGGACAATCCTTTCCTTTATTGTTCTTTCAAAACCCTTCACTTTATTGTTCTTTTATTAAAACAAACACCTAGATCTTTATTACCTTGTAAAGCTATTTTTTCAATCCCACAAGGTAGTTTTATTTATTGTTCTAGGTAAAACAAACGTTAAGTGTGCTAGAGTTGTATTGGTGGTCGATAAAACTTAAGAGATTATTAATTCTACCTTTAGCTTGTCATTGGTTCGACACTCTTATTTATTGAAAAGTTTACAACTGATCCCTTACACTTGTGTGTTTTCAGGCGGCTCCGAGCCGTCTAATCTACCTGGACGACTAAGACCCGGGCGACCCAGTTGGGAGGACCAGCGCGCCCGGGGCCAGCGTCATGACAACTGAAGTATGTGCACCGAGGAAACCGAAAGATACCCTGACAACAACACAAAGTAGAAGCCGACGACACTGAGTACGCTTAAAGCCGGTAACGCCGAGTAAGCTCGAAGCCGGCTGGGTAAGCTTGAAGAAGCGCCCGCAGAATGAAGCGAGAGGAAGGACAACATGCTCCGCGTCCAATAAATAGCATACAATGATAAATTTATAGGAAAACTCAACCGACCTTGTAGAAAATCGAAACACCCTGACTCACCTCATCGCGACTCAAAGAGGTCAAGCACCTCACGACCAGCGGTCACGCCCGACCTGGCTCCCACGAACGAGGAAGCACATCGAGAAGCGAATGCATTTCACCCGCGCATACCCAGGGTAAGTGACATAGACACACAGACCCGTCTTGCCCGACACACGACAGGAAGTGGGCAAGACGCGCACACGAGCGCGACAAAAATCTCCGCAGACACGCGGCCCCGATCGTGCTCCCGGGGCACACGTCATGGACCCCAAAGGGAGAATGGTCAGGTGTGGGATGTTGCGTCGATCGAACAGTGCGGACCGCGCCAGAGCTAACAGCAGGAGGCCATCGTGCACCAGACGACACAAATGGCACCCTCACCGATGTAGGATCCCAGATGGGTGGCCTCTTGGCGCTAGATACTCCACCCAGGAGCGGGTGTGCGTCACTGACAGGAGGCCTCGGCCTCGGCTTTCGCGCGTGATAGGGCGCAACCAAAACCACCCCATGATGGTGGCCCAGTGTGTGCCCAACATTTCACTCGTCAAGGACCACCCAATCGGATCATCCAGGTGCATGCAATCCGAGCATATCGGACAACACGGAGAGCCCCGAGAGGCCCTCATGGCATGCCACTGCGGAACAGATGGCTCGACGCAGATGGCGCAGGAGCGTGGACCACACATCCCGACTGCAGTGACCAAACCAGCCGACAGGTGCGAAGATGCCAAGAGGCGGGTCCAGCTAGGCCATCGCGCTTGGGTGTAGGCACGACGCGAGCTGTCGCATGACTATGGTCATGTGCGCACTTGCGGTCCACTCGCCATGGACCGCCAAGCCAGGTCGCCCGGGTCTGAATAGTCCGGGCAAATCAAATATTTCACATCATCCTCAAGTGGACCTCACGTCAAGCCAGCCGCAAACAGACGGCGGAAGGCCTCTTTGCCATCGTAGAGCCCACGCTAACGTCCTTTATAAGAGTAAAGCCCTATCGGACATCTCCAAATACATAACAAATTGAGATAGGGTTTTCATGCCTCTTGTTGGTCGTGTTGCCATGCTAATCTACTCCATCCCAAATGTAGGCATGCACCAATGACTTCGAGAGTAGGTCCCCGGAACATCTTGCTCTTGTGATCCTGTACTAGGAGAGGGCAATTGGGTTTTAGAAAGTGCTACACCTGATTGTTCACATTCGTGGGTCACCTTCCTTCCAAGTTAGGCAGAGACGCATCACACATCTGCTTCGACCATTCTTGGATAACTTGTTGACAATAACATTACCTCGTCAGCAACCACAACTATTTTCATCTACAAACGATTACATATTTCGATCTACTCCCTAATTATGGTTGCTGCTACATGTATGATGTTGTTCAATCCATCTAGTATGCTAGAGGTATACATGCTAATAATTACTTTAATCATGATTTATATTGTAGAGTTAATCATGAAATTGTCTAATATTCCCAGTAATATTCAAATGTATCCAATACAAGTAAAAGGACATAGTCCTATTGTATTGTCTCTGCTAGTCTTCGATCAAACTTGGATATGCTCTTCCTTGATCACTTATCTCTTTTCGAAGTTAAATAGCTTGATTGAGAGTCCGAAAAGGAAAGCAAAAAGAACAGCAAATAAGACGACCACATTAGCGACTACCCACAGTAAGTCCTGATGGTACCCAAAGTAGCTTTCTACAAACTCGGATACTCGCACTCCATTATCAAACTCTTCTGTTACATCTCCAAACTGTGAAGTGACCAGACCATTGAGTGTCCATGCAATAGGGTTGAGCCAATAGTACCATCTCCACCATATTGGGATTCTCTATAGAGCAAAGTAGCCAGTTAACATAGTATCACTTTTTGAATAAGAGTTTGAATAATATTTGGAAAAGAAGGAGAAATTTTTGTTTATTGGTTAGAAGGGGAAGTATAGAAAGTTAAAACATTGAGAGCAACTAGTATACTTACAGTTCTTGGTATAATAAATCCCGAGAAAAGGTTCCAGAGAGCATAGAACGCCGCAGAAGCAATAGAGGCAACATTGTAGTTTGAGGTCAGTCCCATCGACATCATTCCATAAAATGTGAAGTAAGCTAGAGTGAAGTACATGAAGAACATGTACCAAAAGAACTTGGCAATTGTCCACTCGAACCCAATCATAGCATATACTAGAATACCATATATTAAGGACTGGACAAGGATATATGGAAGTTCAATTACAACCTACAAAGGGAAGGATGTTAGTTCTTATTGTTTTTTACTATTGCTTTCCACTTAGATATTTGTTAAACTATATATACCATCTTTTCTAGCTGTAATTCAATATGAACTCAATCCTTTCACTGAAAAGGCTTTTCGCCCCGCCTTATATATAAAGCAAATTACCACCACATACAATAAGCAGTTCAAGTATGGTATCAACCCACTCCAGAACACAAGAAAGAATAAGAAAAATATACATGCTTGCGTTCATATATGATGTTATACATGAAAATGCGACGCCTTTTGTTCGTTAAACTCCATAGTCTTGTTTTTATTTGGCCTATAAAATAACTTATGACATTCCGGTTTAATAGGAATGATATAGTACTCATATCAACAAGGTGCGACCTCTTTTCTGGAAGTCCATCCTCAAGAAACCTTAAAGTTAAGCGTCCTTGGCTTAGAGTAATTTAAGGATGGGTGACCGACCGGAAAGTTGACCCCTTGCAGCAATTTGAGGATTGGTGACCGACTGAAAAGTTGATCCCAGATGCACATGAGTGAGGAAAAATGCACAGAAAAGACTAATGTTGGTATGTGGGACCAGTCTAGATCCCAGGTGCAACAGCCAAAAATCGGTGTGGGACCGGTCTAGATCCCAAGTGCAATAGCCAAAAATCGGCAGGTGAACCGGTGAGTTTGGTCTGAGACATTACATAACTATAGATGAAAGTTAATGCAAAGAAACTTTACCTGTCTCAATGCATATGGCAAAGGTGAGTACATGCGAGCTGCACTTTCCCTGTAAAAGACTGTGCGCTCAACAGCCACAACCGGCTGAATTGAGGTAGAGTTCTGCACCCCCATGAACAGAATTGCGGAATACATGGATCCCATGGCGTTGAATAAGTCTTGTTGATTGTGTCTGCAAGAGTAAAGGTGGGAACCATAAGTAATCTCCTTAACAACTATTACCTCCGTACCAAATTAATCTCGACAAATCTAAGACAACTAATATGGGATGGAGGGAGTATTATATATACAATCATGTACTTCATTTAATTTATTATATATGATGTTACCTTTTTCTTCCAATACCCCAGAATATTGTCCCAAACAACAGTGCAAGTACTATAGTATAGAAGTACTTCACAGCGGTATATGGAGGGTTTCTCCAGTATGACAAACTTTGCTTCCACAGGCAAGCAAAACTCTGTGTGATGAAGTTTTGTGAGTATTGGGTTGGAAAGGATAGGTCGTTTGAACCTTCAGGAGGTGTGCTTAGCTCCTTTATTAATTTTTTGTTCCTCCTGAGATGCAACAAAACCGATAATATTAGTGCACATTGTAAACAACTATTTTGTCAATTGTATTTGTCACACATATATGAACTTCGGTTGCAGAAGATCAAATTGACACACGAGTATTATCATGCTTTTACAATGGGTGATCTATGATTTCAATATATTTTAAGTCATGCATATTTGTTCAAATATATTAATTGTTGCTCTTTTTTGAAATATAAGATCTCGTGGCTTAAATCAAATTGTATCATGGCTATAGTTTTTCAGCATGACATTATTAAATTATTAAATTATGTAGTAATGAAACAAGAAAAGTACCGATATAATTCAGAATTCTTTTATACATGACTGAAGTTAATCCGGGTTATATGTTCTTGTGTTGTACTGGTAACTTCCAGCATCCATGTTGCAGGATTATGTCCGTCTTTAATCTTTCTGATATTTTCAATAGCCTGTGTAGAACCAAAGCAGTTCAGTAACTTTGTTTAGTATGACACTTCATATCTAAACATAGACTAATTTATGTTTCCTTTCATCACCTCTAAATATTGGATCAATTCACACGAGTGTCGACCTAGTGGGCCTACATAAATCTCTTCACCTCCTCGTTTCATCAGGAAGAGCTGCAAAGACACACAAACCATCGTGTATTAATACGGTTCAGAAACATTAGCAATTGCTCATATGTTGCTTTAGTTTTTTTACCCTTTAATGTGTGTACACACTCTATTTAGTACCTCATCAAAAGACTCGAATATGTTGATGCTCGGTTGGTGAATTGTGCAAACAACAGTCCTTCCTGTATCTACAGTATTCCTTATTGCTCTCATGACAATGGCTGCTGCCCGTGCATCCAGTCCAGATGTTGGTTCGTCCATGAAAATAATAGAAGGGTTAGCAACTAGCTCCACTGCTATTGTTAGCCTTTTCCTCTGCTCAGTTGACAATCCACTCACACCAGGTAATCCAACCAATGCATGTTTTAAGGGGTTAAGTTACACTAGCTCCATTACCTCATCAATGAACATCTGCACACGGTTTCATGTGTTAAAGTAGATAGTAGATATGGTATCCCTTACCAAGATATGACTAGTAAATAAATGTGATCGACAAGCACTTCCAAATATCTTTCTTAGACATTTCAACTTAAATTCTATTGTGATCCATTTTTCACTTTACATGGCATTACCTTGTAATATCAGTTGACAATTCTTTTTAGTGAACCTTGTCAGTTGATAATATGAGTCTTCTCAATTAATCATGTTTCATATACTTTTCTAATATATGTACTTCTATACTATGAAAACATTCAAAGAAAGTTTTTTTTGTTCTTTGCAAACCTTTCTTGTTGAGGACTCAACATTGGCAGGTAATCGGAGAAATGCAGAGAATGCAAGTGATTCATACACAGTCACATTTGGTGAATGGATGTCATTCTGCTCACAGTAACCTGATACACGAGCAAAAGTTTCTTGCTTCTTTGGATATCCGGAGATTGTAATGTTGCCCTCTATGTATCCACTGGTCTTCCGTCCAACCAACACATCCATCAGTGTTGTCTTACCGGCACCACTTACACCCATAAGAGCTGTGAGTACTCCTGGCCTAAATGAACCACTGACACCTTTTAGTAATTCCAATCGGCTCTCCACCACACCTTGTGCTTTGATTTCCTACAGTTTATGTTGGATAAAGTAATGATGTGTGATGTTTTTACTCATGTATGTTCTACATATTGGACATATGAGTATAACCGTATCCTAAGAAGTTACATAAAGAAAATACCTCTGGCATGTCTACACTGTATTTTATATCATCGAATGTGACAGAGAGAGGTACAAAATGTAGGACCATTCCTTTCTTGCCTGGAATAGAATTCATAGTTGTGTGGTCAGAATTTTGTCGGTGTACTAGAGTAGGGGTACCCTAGTATCCCGAACTCGTGCACGGGCAGTTGCAGCACCCCGCGGCAAGGCTTGCCGGGTGACCGCCAAGACCCTCCGTGGTTCCCTTGAAGACCATTCAAGAACAAAGTACTCAAACCAAGGCCTCGGCAAGAGGAGCTTGCCGGGAGGGCCAACCAAGGCCCCGGCAAGAGGAGCTTGCCGGGAAGGCCAACCAAGGCCCCGGCAAGAGGATCTTGCCGGGAAGAGACAAGACCCCGGCAAGAGGAGCTTGCCGGGAAGGCCACTCAAGGCATACCAAGAAAGCTTGCCGCGACGCGCCCTGCGTCCCGGCAAGATCCGGCGAGCGACAAGCTTCCGGACGCGACAAGACGACGGCCGCGGCAAGGAGCTTGCTGCGGGAAACCCCCACTTCGTGCCCGCGCTCCAGCACACCTACTAACGTGTCGCTCTAGGACTCTCCCAAGCACACGTGGCAGGAGGCCGTGCAGCTAGGGGTACGTGGTGGCAAGCGGAGATGAAGAGAAGCCCATCGTGGCAAATGGTGGCGCTCCTAACGGTCACCTTTTGCACTGTTTAGGAGACCCAGACAGGCATTTAATGCCCTTGTCCCCTGCCGTCAGAGTTAGGTAGGGTGCACTGTATCCACAGTAGCGGTAGCTGCACCTACCGCATCCTTTTCCATTTCTACCCTTTTAGTCTACGTTGCCACCTGTGGGTAACCCCTTGAGAGTATAAAAGGAGGCCCAAGCGCAACGTAGAGGGGGTTCGGCCGGTTCGGCTCATTGGAAACACCAGAAACACTCCCACGCTCAGTCTGGTAGCGTCAATCGCTCCTGAGCAAAGATTCAATACACACAAACAAGCAGCAGTAGGGTTTTACGCATCCGTGCGGCCCGAAGCTGGGTAAAACCGCCCGCGTGTACTGCCTCGATCCGCTCTTTGTTCAACCTCCGCCCTCACCGAATCGAAAGGGGCTCGGTCCGCCGATCCCCATAGGTGTTCGTGGATCAGTTTCCCCGACATCTTTGGCGCGCCAGGTAGGGGAGCGTCGAGATTGCGCGAACCCGATCCGGCGTGCACGCAAGCTAAATCTTCATCGTCTTCATAGACATGCCACCGAAGAAAAAGGATTCGGCGGCAGCTGTTCCGTCCACGTCAAGGCTCAGCTGTTCTTCATCGTCATGGCTCCTAAGGAGCGGGCGAGCAAAAGAACGACGCCAGTGCGGCAACAGAAAAATCTAAGTCATGCAAAACTTTAGATATTTCCTTTCTATATAAGGTTATCCGCCTCGGAGATCTTGTTCTTTGTACGGAAAACCTGTGCGCGGAGGAATCAACTCGTAGCTAGTTGCGCCCTTACTTTGTTTCGAGTCCGCTCAACAACTTAAGTGAGCTGCTAGCGCCCTTACTTTGCTTTGAGTCCGCTCAGCAACTTAAGTGAGCCGCTAGCGCCCTTACTTTGTTTCGAGCCCGCTCAACAACTTAAGTGAGCTGCAACTAGTTGCGACAAGGTTGCTTGTCGGTAGCGACCCCGCCAGCAGGCTGCTGAAGTTCCGCACTCGGCGCTCGCGGCAAGGGTGCCTGCACCGGCAAGTTTCCCTAGAAAGCCTAGGGTGGACGTACAAAGAGAGGTTGAACAGGAAGATAGCATGCACTATTTATTTGAGATTCCTGCATAAACCTGTATGCCAAGGAGCCTTCTCGGGGCTAGTTGCGCTCCATGTTGCCTCGAGTCCGCTCGGCAACTTGTGCGGTTGCGCTAGAACCAAGAAGGTAAACCTTTCCGGGAGGCGATGTTCCCGAATAGCCGCTAAGGGCCCGTTCCCTCAAGCGCTGCTGGCTGGATCGTACGCACCGGAAAGCATTCCAGCAGGCATAGGGAATATGCAGCAAAAGTCAAAATTCGCAAGCGAGTTAAGTGCACTTCGGATGCTAATCACTTGTCATGTTTAAACGCAGCTATGGCCCGGGGGCTGGCAACGCCTTTAGGACCAATCTTTTTGGTGTCGAGAACGACGAAGTTCTTCGCCATAAGCCTTTCCGGCAATGATCTTGCCGGAAGCCGGTGTCAAGAACAACGAAGTTCTTCGCCATAAGCCCTTCCGGCAACGATCTTGCCGGGAGCCGGTGTCAAGAACGACGAAGTTCTTCGCCATAAGCCTTTCCGGCAACGATCTTGCCAGGAGCTGGTGTCAAGAACGACGAAGTTCTTCGCCATAAGCCTTTCCGGCAACGATCTTGCCGGGAGCCGGTGTCAAGAACGACGAAGTTCTTCGCCATAAGCCTTTCCGGCAACGATCTTGCCGGGAGCCGGTGTCAAGAACGACGACGTTCTTCGCCATAAGCCTTCCTGGCAACAAGCTTGCCGGAAGCCGGCATCGAGAACGTCAAAGTTCTCTGCCGAAGATAAAAGCCTTCCTGGCAACAAGCTTGCCGGAAGCCGGCATCAAGAACGTCAAAGTTCTCTGCCAAAGATAAAAGCCTTCCTGGCAACAAGCTTGCCGGAAGCCGGCATCGAGAACGTCAAGGTTCTCTGCCGAAGATAAAAGCCTTCCTGGCAACAAGCTTGCCGGAAGCCGGCATCGAGAACGTCAAAGTTCTCTGCCGAAGATAAAAGCCTTCCTGGCAACAAGCTTGCCGGAAGCCGGCATCGAGAACGTCAAAGTTCTCTGCTGAAGATAAAAGCCTTCCTGGCAACAAGCTTGCCGGAAGCCGGCATCGAGAACGTCAAAGTTCTCTGCCAAAGATAAAAGCCTTCCTGGCAACAAGCTTGCCGGAAGCCGGCATCGAGAACGTCAAAGTTCTCTGCCAAAGATAAAAGCCTTCCTGGCAACAAGCTTGCCGGAAGCCGGCATCGAGAACGTCAAAGTTCTCTGCTGAAGATGAAAGCCTTCCTGGCAACAAGCTTGACGGAAGCCGGCATCGAGAACGTCAAAGTTCTCTGCTGAAGATAAAAGCCTTCCTGACAACGAGCTTGCCGGAAGCCGGCATCGAGAACGACAAAGTTCTCTGCTGAAGATAAAAGCCTTCCCGGCAAGCCAGTATCGCTGGGGGCTGTGAGTGCCAAGAATCGTCCACGGCAAACCAGAGTTGTCGGGGGCTGCAATATCAGATAAGTCTTTCATCCCTCATCATGCATCCTCTTATGGACTGGGGAATGCGAAACCACGTTTCTTCCCGGAAACTGCCGTGCTCCCTCGACTCTAGGCCCTGGGGCTCGTTCTCGGGGCCAAGTTTGGTCGTAGTCGCGGCAGCAAAGGGATAAAACGAGGAGACCGCACCCACCTCATTCCTGCCTCCGTCAAAAGCGTGAGAAAGGTTGAGCGACGTGGGAAGGCGGCAGGGCCTGTTGCCGGGAGATGAAATGTCTGTCCGAGGGATACCAAGGATTTGCTCCTTGGCGTGGGTTTAGCTCGCGAGACAAATAACCCGGCAAGCATCCCCTTTTCATTAAAAAACATCCCACTCAGGTACAGTCCATAGAGGATGAAAAACATGAAAGAGAGGATTACAAGTTCTAGATACAGCTAAGGCCCGAAGGCTTACAAATTAAAAAGATAAGATGCCCGTAATCCCTTTCCTGTCCCTGTCCTCAGGAGGCAGGTCAAGGAGGCGAAAAGGGCAGAAGGAGCGCCTAGGCGAGCTACGGGTGCCAGAAGACACCAAGGGAACATCCCGGGGGCCGTCTGAAGGCTGGACGGCGACGGCGGCGCTGGAAGCGGGGCTTGAAGACGGGGCGGCAGGATGTCAGCACGCTGTCGAGGGCACCACGCCCTCGTACTCCGACCTGACGGCCTTGTCGCCAGCCCTCTTCCCCTTCCGCAGCCTCCCTACGCCAGCCGCCCAAGGAGACGACCCCGGGGAGTTCAAGAAGCCGGCGACGCGGATGATGGGGTCGCCGGTGCCGCGCAAAGCGGCGCCCGACGCCTAGTCGGACCCGCCGCTCCGCCGCCCACTACCCTCATCGTCGATGTCGCTCCACTCCTCATCGCTCTCGCTCGAGGTGGAGCCTTCGCTGTCGGAGGAGCTGTCCACGCAGCACTTCGCCCGAGTGCCGAAGCACCCGAAGGCCTTGACGGAGAGGAGATCGCCCTCCATCAACTTAAAATGGAGGGTAAACCCCTCCGTCAAGCTGTGGATGCGGGCGAACGTCTTCCACCCTCGATCAAGATACATCACATTAGGGGCTGGGAATGCAACGCGGACTCACGTGCCGCTGATCCCACAGCCCCTCATGTGCAGTCTCAGTGTCTCGGGCGGGTCCAACTCCATCGCGCGCGCAAACGGAGCTGGAAGCCGGAGGCGACGACGAGGCGCCCGGCGCAGCCTGACGAAGAACTCGCAAGGGTCGTCCCCTATATGGACCGCCGTGGGGGGAGGAGCCGCCGGCGGAGGTGAAGCTGACGCGCTGCCCCGTCCGCCTCTTCCCCGAGCGCCTCGACCTCGTCCTCGACCTCGTCCGCGACCTCGCCCCCTCCCTCTTCCCCTTATGGCTGGCTCTGCCACCACGGGCGCGGAAGAGGGAGAGATGCGCTGTCTGGCGGCGACCCTCGCCGCCACCGATGAAGGGCCTGGGTTCCCTTTCTCCATGGCAGATGAGAGAAAGGGGAGCAGAAGCTATAGAAAGGAGAAAGGGGCGGACGTTGCGCTCTCTCCGAATAAAGAACCACCCACGATCTCCCCCACGACGCCGTGATTGACGCGTGCCGTTGCGGGAGGTGCGGTGGATACGGAGCGAGATTTGGTGTGGACCCAGGCCGCGCGTGCCCGTGCACTGTTTTGGGCCTGGCCCAACAGCGCTCGGCACCGTGTATGGCCCAGGCCCGGGGGCTCCTGTCGGTGTACTAGAGTAGGGGCACCCTAGTATCCCGAACTCGTACACGGGCAGTTGCAGCACCCTGCGGCAAGGCTTGCCGGGTGACCGCCAAGACCCTCCGTGGTTCCCTTGAAGACCATTCAAGAACAAAGTACTCAAACCAAGGCCCCGGCAAGAGGAGCTTGCCGGGAGGGCCAACCAAGGCCCCGGCAAGAGGAGCTTGCCGGGAAGGCCAACCAAGGCCCCGGCAAGAGGATCTTGCCGGGAAGAGACAAGACCCCGGCAAGAGGAGCTTGCCGGGAAGGCCACTCAAGGCATACCAAGAAAGCTTGCCACGACGCGCCCTGCGTCCCGGCAAGATCCAGCGAGCGACAAGCTTCCGGACGCGACAAGACGACGGCCGCGGCAAGGAGCTTGCCGCGGGAAACCCCCACTTCGCGCCCACGCTCCAGCACACCTGCTAACGTGTCGCTCTAGGACTCTCCCAAGCACATGTGGCAGGAGGCCGTGCAGCTAGGGGTACGTGGTGGCAAGCGGAGATGAAGAGAAGCCCATCGTGGCAAACGGTGGCGCTCCTAACGGTCACCTTTTGCACTGTTTAGGAGACTCAGACAGGCATTTAATGCCCTTGTCCCCTGCCGTCAGAGTTAGGTAGGGTGCACTATATCCACAGTAGCGGTAGCTGCACCTACCGCATCCTTTTCCATTTCTACCCTTTTAGTCTACGTTGCCACCTGTGGGTAACCCCTTGAGAGTATAAAAGGAGGCCCAAGCGCAACGTAGAGGGGGTTCGGCCGGTTCGGCTCATTGGAAACACCAGAAACACTCCCACGCTCAGTCTGGTAGTGTCGATCGCTCCTGAGCAAAGATTCAATACACACAAACAAGCAGCAGTAGGGTTTTACGCATCCGTGCGGCCCGAAGCTGGGTAAAACCGCCCGCGTGTACTGCCTCGATCCGTTCTTTGTGCGCTCTCCGCCTCCCACCGAACCGAAAGGGGCCCTGTCCCCATAGGTGTTCGTGGATCAGTACCCCCCGACAAATTTGATTTGTCATTGCTCCCGTCCGCAGTATCTGGTAAGCATATGCAAGTGTTATAATTTTGAATTACACCTCAACTATCGGATTAGGAAGTCACGTTATTGAGCATTTCTAGTTGTCCATTTTTTATCTTATATCTTCCTTAGATTGATTAATATAGACCTATTCATTACCTCTAGATGCCATTGTACTGTTGTTAACCCATCCTCCCGATGATGCTTCTAAAAGTTCACCAATGAGATTAGCTTGTTTTATCTTCAATGTTTCTTCAGATACTGTTGGCTGGTTGTTGTCAAATGCTGCATATAGGATAATGTATGAGATTAGAATTTACAGCGTTTTTTGAAAAATTGCAATTTAGATATCTATTTACATTCTAAATAAAATTTATTTCGGACTCACGATTGAGGAATGTGAGGAAAACACTGTATAGGATATTAAATAGTAGCACATATCCGAGCAAGGCACCAACACCAATCCAGTACCACTTTGTATTAGGAAAAATCCCTCGAGATTCCAGAACTAGTCTTCCAAGTGGTCTTTTGAAACTGGGGGTTGTCTGTAGTATATCATTAATAATATGCTTTAGCCATACATATTCAGAGACATGATTGTTCATCCTTCCACAAAAGTCTATTTACCTTGTTCCAGCTATGACCTAGGAACTCATTCACCGATAGGGCATTTTGTGCATACATCAGGGGTGATATCCAGTATCCCCATATCCACAAATTCTTCACATTGTCTGTTAAATCATACAAATATTTTCATTTAATTTATGGTTCACCGATAACACATCCAATGGGGGCAAACATAACTAAACTCCAGAAATTCTTTCTAAGTTTTCTCAGCTTTTTTTAACTGGGCTAACCCCCTTCCAAGTTTTCTTAACTGGACACTTCAAACATCTTTTTTAGGACTTTAGCTTAGCCACTTTTGCATACCTCTTGCCATGACGAATCCACCAGTGAGCATAAAATTTAACATGCAGAAGGAAGCGATGGTGTTTGCAATAACATGATGCCTTGCAAGGCCAGCAACGAAGCGGAAGAGTCCAGAAAATGCCTCGTTCACTAAGAAGAGCAGTAGGAGCTGTCTAAAAAATCTGTAGCATTGCATTGTTTTCATTAGCTTGTGCAACACATTAAAAAGAGCATCTTTCCCTTTATTACGAAGGGGTATGGGTAATCTCAACCGTTGATGTGTTTAGGGGGTGTACCAAAGAAAAGGTGTTAAAAAACCATTGATCTTAAAATTTCCACTTACCTTTGTATGTTGGGATCAAATCCGATACCATAGTATGTTATCCCAACCCAAATTGTTGCATTGAGCAAGGATAGGGGGGTCTTAATGATCCATGAAGTCAACGAGTATATCCATGCTGGAAAGAAGAGAAGATCTCGTTGCTTGAAAAAACCCGGGAGCTTTATAGTAGTTAGACCTACTTCTGCAAACCCATTGAACATTATCATCAAGATCCCAAAGAAGATAGCACCCATGTATATCCCTCCATCTGTTACCGAGTCACGATGCATATTGATGCGCAGAAATACGGTCATTGCAATGATCGCCAAGAGTGTCAACCAAAGAAAAAGGAGAAATAATAAGATAATGTACGTTATGTTCTTCTATACTTTTCTAGGAATACCAAAGAAATCATTTAGTGTTGAACTTCTGTAGATTTTGATTTTAGAATCATCACCTGGGTTGCCTTGAATATATACAAAAAGGAATTCCTCTTCATGAGCAATATATCTCTGTTGATATTAGCTTTGAGTAGTTCCTTCATGCTGGCACCGTATTGTGATTTTTTCAGAGCTGCGGGATGACTTTTGTCCTTGTCAAATGGCACAACTAACTCACTCCTTATAGCTTGACCAACGTGGAAAGATTGAAATGCCTCCGCAAACTCCTTGACCGGAACAAATCTGTATGTCTCATCATTGTTTATCCAGTATTGTCCTTGATCTTTTATTGATGTAACCTATAAATTTCCAGTTATAGTTAGTCAAACTTTAACATGTTAGCCATTTATGATCCCGCTATTACAAAAATCCCACGTTTTGGGGATGAAAAAAACCCACAACTTATGACAATTTTCTAGAACTACTGCAGCTTGCCATATTTTGTACAGACGCAAACTGTAAGAAATATATTAATATGTTGATCCATTTGTTTCACTTGTGAGCACACATTATGCATTATGAAAATTCCTAGAAATTTAAAGTTTTATATTTTGAAGGTGATTCACGATAATGCACTTTAAAATAGACCCATATATAATCAGGGAAAACTTCATACAATAAGTTGATTACACTCACTTCTTGCAGGAAGTCAGCTACGCCTTTTCGCTTGGGACATTTGAATCCCATTATTTCAAAGAACTCGAGAACATATTGTCGAGGGCCATTATAGACAACATGACCATCTGAAAGGAGAATTATATCATCAAATAATTCATATGTCTCTGGTGCAGGTTGTAGCAAGGCAATGACTGCTGTTCCACCAATAATGTGGATTGTTTGTCGGATGAAGTTCACAATCTGGAAGGTTGTCGAGCTATCAAGTCCAGTTGATATCTCGTCCATGAAAAGGGCTCGTCCGGGTGTGACGAGCATCTCAGCTGCACAACCATGTCATAGAAAGGGTGAGTTTGATTGTATAGGAGTACAAAGTAATTTAGCTATGTAATAACACATAAGCATCTTGTAAGTTTCTTACTTTCGAACTATATTTACCTGTAGTTACTCTCTTTTTTTGCCCTCCTGATATGCCTCGCAACATATTGTTTCCTATCATTATATTAGCACAGATATCCAACCCTAAGACCTTCAATAATTCAAACGAGTGAAATTAAAGAATTAGTAGTGTGATCAGTTTTCATTTCTTAGAACTTTTTGTGAAATTAAATAAAGGAACTTGGTATCATTCTTATTATAATTATGTAATTCAATGTAAATTACAACTGAGCTATAAATAAGTAATTGATTCGCATGCACCTTTAGTATGTGATTTATGACCACCTCGGCTTTTTGATCTCCTGTTGCAGCAGCCTAGATAAGAAAAATGAAAGATTGATATGCATCAAGCTTTACATTTGAACGTACCATGTCTCAACCATTGAATTAAGTGAACTAGTGAAGTGAACTAGCTACGATATATTGGATTGTGTGTTAGCTAGTGTTGAGTTGAAGCAAAAAATATTCTCTTGTGGCGGTACACGCCTTGCAAAGGCTACTTTCTCATCACACACCACTTCTTTTGGACTCTGGTGAGGTCCGCTAACATAGGGGACGAAGCAACTTTCTCTTTTGAGCTATTGTGGTTAGAGAGGGAATGCTTCGTTCAGATGGCGGCCAAAGAATGAGAAAAATAAACACGTGGTGGAACAAATGTAGGGAGGTGACAATTTAAAATTCGGCATATTAGACAATTCTTACGAGGATGTCTAAGAATTCTAGCTGTGCTTATAAAAAAGAAAAAGAAAGGTTCCTTCAACTTATTGATGTTTTAGATATTAAGGCCAAACGAACCCACCTCATACCGACAGAATGTGCTGCCAAACACGAGGCTGAGGTGAACATTGGCGAACTCACAAGAGAGGAATAAACCAAATGACCCGACCGTGCCAAAGTGAGGTACGTACGGGAAGGTGGCAATAATACTAAATTCTTCCATTTGGTCGTGAGCGACAAACACCCCAAAAAGAAAGCTGTCCAATTAGTGCAAGACAAGGGGATGATTGTGGGGCGGGAAAATCTCAAATCTTATCTCTAATTATTATATAAGGCTATTTGGATCCTTAGTGTCCACCTTCATGTTGATGGATGAGGACATTACTCATGATATTCCACAACTTTCCCTGAAAGAGAACGTGGTTTTCGCAACGCCATTTATGGGAAAGAAGATGTTTTAAGCCATCTCGCAAATGAAGAGCAATAAAGGCCATGACTAGACAGGTTCTCCATGAAATTCTACCAGAAATGTTGGGGGACTATAAAAGGATAATGTATGGCATTGTTTGTGGATTTATTTAATGGGTAATTTCGACTGTTTATGCTCAACTTTGATACCATCATGTTGTTTCCAAAGAAGGAGGACACCATGCGGATTTACACAATTTCATCCAATTTGTCCGCTCAATGTTAGTTTTTTTTACCAAAGTGGGTATAAATAGAGGCTAACTGCAATGGCGCACATTGTGGTCTCTCTACTCAAATTTCATTCATGCCCTGAACGACATATCCTAGAAGGGGTGGTAGTCCTAAAGGAGAAAATTCATGAGTTACACTCAAAGAAACTTCACAGAGTTATCTTTATAGTGGATTTTGAGAAAGCCTATGATAAAGTCAAATGTTCTATCTTTCAACAAGCTCTACGCATGAAGGGTTTTGATACAGCCTCACGCCAGCTAGTGCATAAGTTTATTCGGGGTTGGCATTGGGGTGAAAGTAAATGGCTACATAGCTCATTACTTTCAAGCCTGGGAGGGGTTGTTAATAGGGGATCCTATATCTCCAATTCTTTTCAACATTGTTGTCGGTGCTAGAGGTCCTCATAGCAAGGGCTAAGGAGGGTGGAAAGGTGGGTGGTCTCATCCCGTATTTGGGTGATGGGGCGTCTCCATCATCCATTATGGCGGATGAAACTATTGTTTTTATAGAGTACGATATGGACAGGGTCGTAGATATGAAACTGATACTTTCCCTCTTTAAGCAATTATAGGGGTTTAAAAATAACTTCCACAAGAGTGAAGTCTTCTATTTTGGACGTGCCAAATAATAGAAGAAACACTATAAGAAACTATATGCGCGGTTGGTAGGTTCCATTTCGGTACCTCTGAGTACCTATTCATTTTCTGAAACTTACAAACAAACAATGGAAGTGTATTGAGGATAGGTTTTAAAAGAAGCACAATTATTGGAAACCAAAACTCATGGCCTTTTCTTCTGGTTAACCTTTACAAACAAAAAGTGGAAGTGTATTGAGGACGATTAATTCTAGTTAACTCTGTGCTCAAGAGTTTACCTATTTACATGCTCTCGTTTTCTTCTGGTTAACCTTTACAAACAAAAAGTGGAAGTGTATTGAGGACGATTAATTCTAGTTAACTCTGTGCTCAAGAGTTTACCTATTTACATGCTCTCGTTCTTCGAAATACCAAAGGGGTATGAAAAAGACTTGATTTTTATCGCTCCAGATTCTTTTGTTAGATTGATGAATATAAAAACAAAGTACCACTTGGCAAAGTGGGATATCCTATGTAGGCCAAAACACCAAGGGGGGCTAGAAATTGCACACCTTAAAGTTAAGAACAAATACTTACCTAGCAAGTGGCTATATGAGTTTCTAATAGAGGAAGATGGTGTGTGGTTAATGTTGCTACGCAATAAATATCTTCACTCAAAGACTTTGCCTCAAGTAAAGGCGCAACCGACAAACTCACCATTATGGAAATGCTTGTTAAGGGTCAAGTCTACATTCTTTTGTAGAGGCAATTTTATTGTGGGTGATGGATGTACCATGAGATTCTATGAGGATACATGGCTGGAACATACACCTTTGGCCGTGCAATACCCAAAACTATATAATTGTTGGAAATATGCCCTAGAGGCAATAATAAAAGGATTATTATTATATTTCCTTGTTCATGATAATTGTCTTTTATTCATGCTATAATTGTGTTATCCGGAAATCGTAATACATGTGTGAATACATAGACACCAACATGTCCCTAGTAAGCCTCTAGTTGACTAGCTCGTTGATCAACAGATAGTCATGGTTTCCTGACTATGGACATTGGATGTCATTGATAACGAGATCACCTCATTAGGAGAATGATCTGATGGACAAGACCCAATCCTAAACATAGCACAAGATCGTATAGTTTGTTTGCTAGAGTTTTTCCAATGTCAAGTATCTTTTCCTTAGACCATGAGATCGTGTAACTCCCGGATATACCGTAGGAGTGCTTTGGGTGTACCAAACGTCACAACGTAACTGGTGACTGTAAAGGTATACTACGGGTATCTCTGAAAGTATTTGTTGGGTTGACACGGATCAAGACTGGGATTTGTCACTCCATATGACGGAGAGGTATCTCTGGGCCCACTCGGTAATGCATCATCATAATGAGCTCAAAGTGACCAAGTGTCTGGTCACGAGATCATGCATTACGGTACGAGTAAAGTGACTTGCCGGTAACGAGATTGAACGAGGTATTGGGATACCGACGATCGAATCTTGGGCAAGTAACGTACCGATTGACAAAGGGAATTGTATACGGGGTTGCTTGAATCCTCGATGTCGTGGTTCATCCGATGAGATCGTCGAGGAGCATGTGGGAGCCAACATGGGTATCCAGATCCCGCTGTTGGTTATTGACCGGAGAGTCGTCTCGGTCATGTCTACATGTCTCCCGAACCCGTAGGGTCTACACACTTAAGGTTCGGTGACGCTAGGGTTGTAGAGATATGAGTATGTAGTAACCCAAAAGTTGTTCGGAGTCCCGGATGAGATCCCGGACGTCACGAGGAGTTCCGGAATGGTCCGGAGGTGAAGAATTATATATAGGAAGTGCAGTTTCGGCCATCGGGAGAGTTTCGGGGGTCAGCGGTATTGTACCGGGACCACCAGAAGGGTCCCGGGGGTCCACCGGGTGGGGCCACCCATTCCGGAGGGCCTCATGGGCTGAAGTGGGGAGGGAACCAGCCCATAGTGGGCTGGTGCGCCCCCCTTGGGCCCCACATGCGCCTAGGGTTGGGAACCCTAGGGGAGGGGGCGTCTCCACTTGCCTTGGGGGGCACTCCACCCCCTTGGTCGCCGCCCCCCTAGGAGATCCCATCTCCTAGGGCCGGCGCACCCCCTAGGGGGCCTATATAAAGGGGGGAGGGAGGGCAGCCGCACCTGAAGCCTTGGCGCCTCCCTCTCCCCTATTACACCTCTCCCTCTCACAGAAGCTCGACGAAGCCCTATTGCGATCACTGCTGCATCCACCACCACGCCGTCGTGCTGCTGGATCTCCGTCAACCTCTCCTTTCCCCTTGCTGGATCAAGAAGGAGGAGACGTCATCCGCTCCGTACGTGTGTTGAACGCGGAGGTGCCGTCCGTTCGGCACTTGGTCATCGGTGATTTGGATCACGGCGAGTACGACTCCATCATCCCCGTTCTCTTGAACGCTTCCGCTCGCGATCTACAAGGGTATGTAGATGCACTCCCCTCTCGTTGCTAGATGACTCCATAGATAGATCTTGGTGAAACATAGAGAATTTTTTTTGTTTTCTGCAACGTTCCCCAACAGTGGCATCATGAGCTAGGTCTATGCGTAGTTACTATGCACGAGTAGAACACAAAGTAATTATGGGTGTCGATATTGCCAATTTGCTTGCCATTACTAGTCTTATCTTGATTCGGCGGCATCGTGGGATGAAGCGGCCCGGACCAACCTTACACGTACGCTTACGTGAGACTGGTTCCACCGACTGACATGCACTAGTTGCATAAGCTGGCTGGCGGGTGTCTGTCTCTCCCACTTTAGTCGGATCGGATTCGATGAACAAGGTCCTTATGTAGGGTAAATAGAAATTGGCAATTCACGTTGTGGTTTGGGCGTAGGTAATAAAATGTTCTTGCTAGAACCCTATTGCAGCCACGTAAAAAAAACTTGCAACAACAATTAGAGGACGTCTAACTTGTTTTTGCAGCAAGTGTTTTGTGATGTGATATGGCCAAAGTTGTGATGAATGATGAATGATATATATGTGATGTATGAGATCATGTTCTTGTAATAGGAATCACGACTTGCATGTCGATGAGTATGACAACCGGCAGGAGCCATAGGAGTTGTCTTTATTTTTTGTATGACCTGCGTGTCATTGAGAAACGCCATGTAAATTACTTTACTTTATTGCTAAATGTGTTAGCCATAGTAGTAGAAGTAATAGTTGGCGAGCAACTTCATGGAGACACGATGATGGAGATCATGATGATGGAGATCGTGATGATGGAGATCATGGTGTCATGCCGGTGACAAGATGATCATGGAGCCCCAAG